AGCTCCCTCGGCTGACTGTAAATATTGTAAATAAGTATGAATGTGTTTTTATATTTTTATTTAATGTTGTCTCATGTTTTATTTCTTCTGTTTTACTAAGTTTTCTTTTGTAATATTTTTTCAATTTTTTGATTGTTTTTTTGTTATTGTATATATGTTACGAATGAGTCTCTTACATCTCAAATACCAATGCCCTTAATTGAGGCAAAATGTATTTTTGCTTAATAAATAAATAAACCTTAAAAAAAAAAAACTAACTTTAAATGTATGAAATCTAAATAAATGATCATATCGTCGTCATAGTTCTTTACATTTTATTATAATTTCAGTCTCTTGTTCAATTAAAAACTCAAATACCCAATGTCCTCGACGTTACAGACAAAAAGATTCTGTCATATTTTAGAAAAATGTTGCTCAAAGATGATGTACCTCCAACTGCCCACTGAAATGTTTACTTCCATCCAGAACCTTGTTATGTCTTAAAGGAAATCGGTAAGCCGTGCAATCCGAAAACTGTAAGAAATACTTTTTTCAGAAGAATCATGTGAACAGGGAAAGGGAGATGTCTGGATGATTGTAGTGCATTACATGGCACCTAAAATGAAGAAAGAAGAACAATTTTTGTTTTCAATTGTGGTGTTCGCCGTATGCGCATCTACGATTCCTTCCTGCAATTCTGAATCATCATATCAGTGAACTCAAAATGGATATGCAAACAATTTCCATTGCATCATCAAAATTGGCAATCCAGAGAATGAAATTTCAATTTGCATCTGTATGAGCAGTTAGATAGAAGCTATTACCTACATATATAGTACTGTGTCTGAAACTACTCAACTCTCGAACTAGTGAAAGATACTAGACTAATCAGACAATCAGACACCGTTCCGAAGGGTGGTATTGTCTTATAATGAGGCAGCCCTCTCTTGTATTTTCCAATTAGAACATTTGCTATCCGGCGCTAATTGCAATCCTTCCCAGCCCCTCCGTTCCACCACTATCGAGGTCATCTATTGGAAAGTACCTCTATCTAAAAGCATTGCGGTGTCCTGTCTGCAGGAAATAAACAACTAAAGTTGATAGTTTAATACCTATCGGAAATCTAATCGATAGCTTCCCAATCATATTTAGATTCGCCATATCTACGCTATAAATAATGCGGTAGTGTAGATACCTTTTCCGGCTCTCAGGAGCAATGGATATTGATGTATGAGATACCGATTGAAAGCGTATTCAATGGAGAAGTGATAATGCCAATTTCAATACTTAAAATCTTACAACAAATACAATCAGTTACTGAAAACTGGCAGGTTTTAAAACTCTGATCTTTGACGAGAACATCAAGCCACGTCAACCTCAACCGGTTTGGTTCTGTAGGTTCTACTGGGACCTGCACATTTAAGCTCAAAAATTCAAGATAAATTCCTATTATTTGCTTAGTTGCTAAGGTTATGTTGCGTTGTCCGGAAAATAATGCAGGTTTTGGTTTTTTTTAAAAAAAGATAGATTTAAAACTGTTTTATATAATCAATGAAGTCTTCACTACCATTTCTGCTGGTAACTTTTCCATTCCCTCGGAATAGAATTTCTCATCTTTAGAACTGGTAAACTCCAAAAACGCATTTTCTAATAAACATTGTCCACTACATTTTTGTCACGTAAGTAGTGGTCCAGGTGTCTAAACAATATATAATCCGTAGGCGAGAGGTCAAGAGAGTAGGGCGGATGTGGCAGAGTTTCATATACAAGATCTTACAGTTTTTGTGACGTCACAAGTGGGAAATGTGGCCAGCCGTTGTCATGCAACAAAATGAGCCAATTCTGCATTTTAAGTTAACCGAAAAAGAAGACAGAAACTTTTACAGTTTGAATGGGACTTTCTACCTCATCCTCCGTATGCCCCAGACCTTGCCCCATCCGATTATTGCTTGTTTCTTTAGTTAAAAATTTCCTCCGTGATAAATGTCAAAAATCCAAAATAAAAACGCATCCGTATGAATATTGAGCAAGTACGTTTCAACAATTTTCAAAAAAGGGTGTAAGAGGTTTTCTGAGAGATGGAACAAGGTAATAGAACAGAACGGTTCATATCTGACTCAGTAAAGCAACTTTAAACAACAAATAAAGAAAAAGGAAAGAACTTATGGGCCAGCCTAATATATTCATACATTAAAATATATTCCACAAATTTTTACTAACAACCTCACAAAGGAGGTAGAATCGTATCACAAAATTTATTTTATAACAAGACAGAATCGGCAACAAAAGGAACCTACATTCTTGGTCCCTTTTAGTTCCAATCCCTAAGGGACAATGTACCTCTACCTCTTTATCCCATCGACTCCTTACCTTTCCTCCCTTCATTGAATACCAACCTAACCTATCTATCGATCCCAATATTCCCACGCACAGAACTCTGGTAAGCCCTTCCTTAAACGTTCCTTATTCTTTCTTGTATTTCTTAAATTTGTACCTCTGGAAAATCCCTCCATTGAAAAAATTGTTATCAATTATTCTTCTCACATCACAATCTTTATAATAATGTTTATATTTTATGATAGCACTTGCAACTGTTAATTTAATTTATCTTTCTAGGGAAGTAACCAAATATAAGTTGTTTTTTCCATTCATCCTCATCCAATATTTTTAAGCTACTTCATGAAATCCAGAATATCCAGATCCTTTCTGGCAATTTGGATTAATTTAAAAGCTTTATTAATTTACTTTTTTTTTTTAATATACGTTTTTATTTCGTTTATAGATTGTTGTAAATAAAAGAGAGACATCGATCCTGTAGTAACTTTCTTTTTTTTTTTTCATGCATTTACTTATTTTCTGCTTGCTCAACTACAAGAAATTATAGTAACATTAAATTACAGTAACAAGATTGGATGCTTTATATTTTACACTACAAAATAACGATGATTTTTTTTTTTTCGAAATCAAACTGGGTAAATCAAATATGAGTCTTTTCATCATGGTAATTTCTAAGAAAAATATCTAATATAACTACAGACAATAATGACAGTGGCGTAAATAAAACAAACAGTAAGTAAAATGTAATGGAATAATTCAGTGAAAAGCTGTATTAAAATGGTTATTCATTGGCAATATTGGTTATTCAACAAGGGGCGGAAATTAATTAGGGAGTTCAATATTTCAACAGGGCGTGGTCACAACGCTTATGCCCACATTATAAAATATCATATAATCCCCAAAACAACTTGTGTTGAGAATTGATGAGAGTGGGTTCTGACCCATGTTAATGCCTTCTATATCCAACATAAATCAGGATCACTATATTAATATTAGTAAAATAAAGCTTGTACCACAACAACCCTATGAAAAGTCTTGGGTTCACTACTTTGTAAGGAAGTACAATTTTAATACCAATGGTTGTAAAGGAGGTGATTGGGCCAAGATGACTCATAAATGCTAGTTTTTTTTTCTCCTCCCGATCAATTAATTAACTAAGAGTGCCCACTTTACAGATACTGTGTAGACCCTATAGGAGGTTCTCCCGATCCCAGGGTCGATGCACGTCTGATAAAGTAGAATAAATAATTATTTGCATATCCTTGCATTGCATTGAGAACAGGAGATTTACAGAATAAGCTATTCCGCTCCCTAATTTCGAAAAGGCACATGATCTGATTTAAACAACTTATTCTGACTATTAGCAATGACATGATTTGATGAGCACTGCAGAGTAGTTAAAGAAGGATTTTACTGTATTTTTCAATTTAACAAAAAAAAATGAAGTGTCCATACGATTTCAACAGATCTTTGAGTAAAATCAAGAATCATGGAAAGGACTAATCCGGAGCTAAATGGAACAGGGAATCAAGGTTGTAGACCAGAGTTACATATAGAAGCAAATATTTACCCGAACCACTAAAATTAAGCATGAGCTAAACATAAAGCCACACCGTCCGAGGCACCAATCAAGGAAGCAGTGGTTTAGCTTTCTCAGTTTCTAAAACTGCGTTTTAAAAACCAAAGATGTAAAAATTACTAAAGAAATTCCACAATTCTTAACTAAATTATCACTAACAGTTAGAAGATTGTGAAAGAATTTTGGAAAGAGATTTGTGTTGGAAAATAATCAGATCAGGAGATCTCTCAACCAACTCCTTATCAGCCATCTAAACATAAATAAATAAAAAAAACTGACTGAAATAAAATTAAAATAATCTATAATAACATAGTCTAATCTATAAAATAATCTAGACCCGGTATCTGTGTATGTATATCAGTTTCGAAGATCGAACAAAATACATTAATTTATTGCAAATCTCAATTATGACTTATATATATATATATATATATTATTTTATGCACAAGATGAGTGTCGTTTAATGTACGTGATCCACTAATATTAAATTTATGAAAAAAGTCGAATATTATTAAATGTACAGAGCAGAGTATTCTCACTGAATAAAACGTTTTCTATGTTAAACAAGTCGGATTCAAATTCAGATTTAATTAAACAGGCAGTTCATAGATTTTTTTCGGCCTTAAACAAGAATTCTTTGAAGAGTGTCTAACGTGTCTAATAATCAGAGAGTCACAGAGGCACAATACTGATCACACCATCTCACACAATGCCTGCCTTCTAGACCCTTAATGGGGTATTACGAGACTGATTTATTTAATAGATTAGATGTTCAATCTAGTAAAAGCCTATAATAATATAAGCATCCGGGACCCAAGGGAATATTTTCCAAGAGGAATAGGTCGGAAATGGGGTCCACTCAACTATCGTAGGGCAAATGAATTGCAGATCGAATACGAACAAATTAATTAATTAATACACAATCACTTGTAACTTGTGGCATAAAAGTTATTTAATTTTTCATAAGTTATCCACAATATGGGTTAAATATTAATTATAAAAATAACAACTTTAACTTTTAAGATATAAATAAATATTAAACAGAATGTTAATAACAATATTTATGCCATACTTAAACCTGACCTACGTCAATATTTGCAAAAACCTAAGATGGATAAATATTTCTGCTAGGAATAACGCATGGGATGAAGCTGAGCCAAACCGCTGGATGCTCAACGCTCTGGAGTGTCTCCAGCTTTAGAAATAGACTAACCTTAATATAGACATGATCTTCACCTTCTAGAGCTCTCTTGAGGGTTTCTTCAACTCTATTCAGCTGGGAAGAAAGCACATTAACCCAATGACCTTAAGGTTTAAGCAATGAAACGGAACTAAATGGGTTATTAAAAAGGATTAGCAACACAGTTCAATTAACTAATATTAACAAAGTTAACATTAAAAACTCAGAAGTAATGATTAAATTATATCAAGCAAGTAATATAAACAATGCATGGCGATCAATCTGTCAATATATTTTACAGCGATATGCAATATTTCATAACTGGTGAGCAGAGGAGTTTGTCACAGACTATTGATTCTGAAAAATATTCTGACAAAGGAACAAGATTAAAGACATGGAAAACACAAGTGTAATTGAATTAACTGCAAATATTATGATTCCAGTTTCACTTGTACCATTTTCAAAAATAAAATATCTTAGGGAGGGAATAGCGTTCCATTATTCTTATGGAGGAGGAAGGGGTACCACTCAAAATCACGTTTTAGATTCCACTGAGATAAAAAAAGAACAAACATCGTTCAAAAAATTTGCTGTGCTTAATTTCTAATTACGTACCATGGAAATAGCTGCTTTGTCATTAGATGTAAGCTCTAACATTATCTTGGTTTTATATTGCCAAAATCCTATCGATATTGTCAAGAAACAAAAACTCATTTATTTGAACATAATCGACATGAAGTTATTATAAATCATAATCCAAAACCTTCCTTTTATATAATTAACTTTTAATATTTTGAATCAGAAATCTTTATTAAACCTCAAATAACAAAAATTAACAACAACAAACAAATGTGTATTTACGAGTTTTTAGTAACTAATTAAATAGACAAAGTTTGTCTCCCTCCAGATTGAAAACGCCCCAATTCCAAGAGTTTTCGTAAATAAAATAGTTGTAGGATACGGTGAGATGGAACTATTTATGAAGTTTCAGGCGGATGTTAATAATTCGATAAAAATAGATATTTACCAAAGACTATAAGGTTTATATCCAGATGATATTAAAAATCGTTAAATTTTATATCGACGTGACGATTTTAATCAAAATCGGTTACAGTCGTATCCGAGAAAATCGTAATTAATTTCCATAGCATAAAATATCATTTCCGGAGTCTGACGATAAAATTTTTGTATCATCACAGGCATATACCTACCTTAACCATATTCTTGGCAGTACGCCATATTTGGAACAATTTTGAATTTCCAAATATGAAGGTTTTTTTTTTTTTTTTTGTATTTCTATTTACTTCTTTTCCTGATAAACAGTCAATTTAAATTATCTACTTCTGATATACTTAAATACAAAAATTTAATTTGTAAATTTATCAAAAAATACAACTTTCTTATAATAGGAAACAAATTCAACATAAAATAATTGAGTTTGCCAAGAATAGGGTTAAATACTTAATTTCAGTTTAGTACGACTTATCGTTTTTGTGGTGGACCGTCCAAATACATGAGATTTTGTTATTTGGACGGTTTTCTGTTTAAAAAATATAAAGATAGTAATTACTATCTTATTATTATTTACTTAATAGTATGTATGGTAAGTGAAAGTAAAAAATTGTTTTGTTTTTTTAAGTAATCTGTCACACTGTGTAATTGTATAATTAAAAATGACAATTTCGTATGACATATTATTTGCGAAAGGTAATTTTAAGTTCTTGAACAGAAACAATAAGCCAAATCAAATGTGAACACCAGATGTAATAAGACAAAACCAAAAACGAGAAGCTCTGAGAAATAAAAGAACCAGCTGGTACCACATAAAAGAAAAAAGAAAGGGCTTTAAGTCCCCGAGCTAACCTCAAGAGATTCGCCAACAACAAACACGAATGCCTTCTTTCACGTCTTTAAATTTTGTTTTCTTTAAATGGCCGCGCTAATAAAGATAAATAGCAGTTCCTAACAAGTCTCGGGTAAAGTCATGAAGCGATTAAAGTGTAGTTAACTAAAAAACTCTCCGAGGAACGTAAATTTATAACCCACTGTTTCAACCAGAACTATCGACTAACCGACAACAATAAAGCATTATTTGTGGAATTAAAAAAAAAAAATTGTTTCTCATTAATACTCCAAATTTTTTGGGTCGTTGAAATACGTATTATGCTGATTAAGTTATAATGAAATGTATTATAAAATAAATTTTAGAGCGAACATCTAGAAATACATGAGGCAGTCTGTTATAAATATGGACTAATAACATGGACTAGAAACTAAAAAAATGAAACTTTATCAAATGTTAAAATATTTGCTTGTTAAAATGAGGAACTAAAGGAGAAGGGTTTCGGATAGAAACTTCAAAAATTAGATGATTCTACTTTTGTTGTTTAATACTGTTTTTTTCTCGAAAATAACAATATAACTTATCGTTGGCACTATGTTAAAGTAACGAATGTGTAACTTTAGGCAGGTTAACGTTCGTTACCGACGATATACTTCTCAAATTTTTATTCTTTTAATTATATAGACTGACCTTATTATAATGTGTTTAAAATAAAATTTAATGAAATTTAAGCTGCAAAGTTCCAAGTTAAGCTATTGTTATACCTTCCAAACTTCAAATATAATACTGCTTTATTTTTTCCAAATAGTCGCCATTTCACTTATATTCATATTTTTATAATAAATGTTAGGTCATTTTAATAGTTCATGATTAGGAATTAATTCAACTGTGCAATAAAAAAAAAAAAGGCCATGCCCGCTCCCAACTTTTATTGTTCTCTAATTAAAACGATGCAAGGGACATTAGAAAAATTGTAGTTTATATATAATTACACTCCCTGTGATTTATTCCATGTTTCTTACTTAGTATCGTGGTTTGAAAGTTCTTACGTTGAAACCTCACAAAAAAACAAGATTCCATATAAAAATTCATAATCATACCAAAATTACACTCCCTTTAAAAAGTTTGAAACCCTGTAAAGATATTCCACCTTCTTTGATTTAGCGCAAAATGTATATATTCCTTTTTGTGCATTTATATTTAGAAATGAATAAAAATATTTTAAAAACCTACAGGACTATGAACTATAAAGGATGATCCTACGGCTAACTTGGAACGATGAGGACATTGCAGGTCGATAACCTTTGTCTTTTCGGCTGATTGCAGAGAGCTATTGGTATGCTGCACTAGTTCGTGGCACATGCCAGCGGTCCCCTACAGCACTGCACATGGCCGCCACATGACCCCATATACCTCAGCTCGTTGTTGAACCGCTACAAATATTTAGGTTTAAAAGGATGACGGCTTAGAAACACTTTCCGTTAAGTGGATAAGTGAGTTATCAACTAAAAACATAAATAGAAAACGTTACTGGTGATATGAGTGGAACAGGAACAAACCTACGAGAGACCAACAATTCGACGTTCGATGGACCCAAGAAATTAGATATTTTTCAAACTTTCGTCTTTTTATATTAGTATCAATAGCAACCGATGTGTAAATACGCCCAGCTTTTATCTCCATACATTCCTCATGCAGATTCTCTGATTTAGCAATGACGAAAACAAAATCACAATGTAAAATACTTAAAGAGGAAGGAGATGGCCCGGGGTGGCGGTCATAAATAGGCTAAATAGTGGTAAAACTATTTTATTAAAAGGCGACGTTTCGACCCGACTTTGCAGGTCTTCTTCAGGGAGGTTCACTCAGAAATGAAAGTCAGTTCCTTTATCCATCTCCTTCCTTTATAATGCAACGGTCAACTATTAAATATCCAATAAAATACTTAAAGTAAAACAAAAGTTATGTAGCCAAGAAACAGAATTAAAGTACAAGTAAACCAAAAATTAGTTCCAAACATTACTGTATACACTAATCTTTCCCGGACAGCACAAGTACATCCATGTCATCAGGATGAGACGAACTGTGTAGGATATAAAATACCGGATCAGAAGCAACAAGACCTATGGTACTAAAGTAACTTTGAACAATGGTTGGAATGCGACTCTGGTTTCATGAATGGAATAGTCTTACAACTGGACAGAACAAGTATTATTTAATTAATTTTAAAAATTCCTTTACGAATATAAGATATAAGGTATACATGAATATTCTCGGCAGAGGTAATGAACCACTGGCTAAAAAAGAAGACTAGAGAAGCATAGGCAGGGACGAAGAGAAAGGTAGGCGGTGAGAACTGCGTCCCTAATGATGATTATGAACCTGCAACAAAGGATGCTGCTGGGGACAATGACATCGCTACTCAACAAAAATATTTCAACACAGCAAGCCGGGCTCAGTCTCAATGGAGATACTATGCAACCTGCAAATATATAAAAGCTAATCGATTGCAAAATATTTTTAATACTTTATAAAGTATGCAGGAGCAATATATTCACTGCTTTGCAACAAGTTCGAAAGAATGCAAGTAGAAAATTAAATAAAAAGACGTTATCTTTCTTTTTATATTATTTTATTCTCTCCATGCTACCGGTTTCGGTATTTCATCAGACTTTCTCATCAGGCTCATTTATGATGGTCCTCCTTTCTTGCTTTTCAGATGAGGACTGGATTTGTTTTAACTCCTGTAACATCGAGCCTCAATTATTCTTCTTCTTTATCTTCCTCCTTTGTGCCTTTCAGCGTGGAGGTCAAAAAGAAAATTTAACATCTTCAGCTATTAAAAATACAATTCAAGTTGTTTCAGAATCTTCAGAATATAGAATACTTGTTTTACTTCTAACTTCCATTGGCATATGCATCTGGGCCTTATAAAACAATTACCAAGAGACGGTAATTCTACTTATTTACTTCCACCTCAATTAATTGTTAAAACTACAGAGATTTATTAAATGAGCTAAGGAACACAAATAGATTAATGGAAGACCAATAATAATGCAGCTCATTTTAAAAACCTAATTCAAAGACGCCACTAATCCCAAATCGCTACTGTAAGATGGCGATTGATTTCAAGATCTCTTTAAGCACACTGTAAATGGAATTCTGAAAGTAATCGAGTGTTGATAATTATGTTCATATATAAATAACGACTTGTCCTTATGACATATTTTTTGCATAATACACAGAGACCGATTTTTATTGAGGTAAAATTGAAAACTTTTTTTTTTCATGAAGGCGGAAAATGCACTAAATTATAGATTATCTACAATATTACTATACATACTCATTTATTAATAATACGAAGTTGGAGAATAATGCGTTTAAATGATTTATTTTATTTCGACATTTATTTCTAGAAATTTTTTTTTATGAACAACAGATAAACATTTTGATAATTCTGTATACGCTGTAATTTGTATTAATGACTTTTTATATAAAAAGAGATAAACGGGATGGGGACTTGAACTCACTTAACCTAACCAACATTCAACCACGAAGGATTGGAGAGTTCGTTTCTCCACAACTACTTTTGGTAGCATGTAGGATTCCGTATGCTGTATGAATACTAAAATGAAGGAATATTGAACTAGTAACTAACATACTAAATAAACAAAAGCAATAATTCACTCCCAAACAATATATCTTGAGATTTATATGAGATTCTTCCTTAAAACAAAAATTCACAATGCGGTGGATCACATCTGGTGGTGAATTATTTGTTGTTTATTGATTCTCTCTAAATAAAGCAAGTTGAGATTAAATTTATTTAGTTTTCTTTATAAACAATGTCGGAATTTTTAACTTCCTGAAAAGAGGAGACGAGACCCATTCCTAAGGTTAGGATTAAGAAAGTTCTGTTTTCCTGGAGTGGATGGAAGCACCCACCGACGGGGACCACCCAACGAAGACAGGGCAGCGGAGTGGAACACTGGTACACCACATTCTGGTCTGCCAGCGATTGGGATACACTTTCTAGCTCCGATGCTTACCTTCGCGAATGCTATCTGGGGACTCCTTAACGAACCAGAGGTTCATTTGGCGTCTGGTCCATTAGCGCTATAAGTCGCTAATAAGGCAAGAACTAGGGGACAATCACAACCGTGAACCAGTTTTTTTTTTTCAAGAGAACTGTAACTTCTTACCTTGATGCTAGGAATTCGCGTTCGAGTTACAGCTCTCAACAACAAGAACCAAAAACTAAAGGAATTTTAAGAAAACATAAAAACGAAGACATTAGGGTAAATGCACCAGTAGCTGATATAATTATGGAAATTTCTTTGAACTTTTACGAGTGAAAACTTAAATAAAAATATTATTGTATTTTTCTTTTATTCGTCTTATAGAACTACTTCTCGCCTTACCCAGACAAATTTCAAATCCATTAAACGTCCATCAATATTTTAAAAAATTGTAAAATTAGAGAAAAGGTTTGTTGCACCAATAGCTACTGTTTGAATTGGAATATTCCTATAGATGAAAGGGATGAGAAACAAGGTTTGATTGTGCGAAATAAATTTTATATTTTTTATTTTAAAATAGATATTAACAAAAATTACCTTTAACTTATTATAAAACTAACTTCATTTCGTTTCTCGATTTAAATTTATCGATAAATGCTGGTCATAGTCAAGAACCTACCTGTTTTTGACAATGGAAAAACATATTTTTGCTCTCTCTCTCTCTGTATATATATATATATATTTTAATTTATGATGTTTATAACTGTATTAAGAAAGAATACATTAAGTAAATGTGATAACAGAAAATAAAAACATGAAAACACTTGTTGAGAAACTACCCACTGGTAGCACTCTAAAAAAAATATATTTACAATAGAAGATCTCGAGGCCATCTTCTTTTCAGTCGCCTCGGAGGGTCGAATAGCAAGCAAGGTTAGAAACGAGAGAGTTTTGATGGTTCTGAAGTTTATTATGGCAGGATAGGTATCTGGATTGGGCCAATTCAGAAATATAAGGAAGATTAAGGTCTTTATGGATGATTTTATTAGTGACAAAGTAAGGAGCATTGAGGAATTTACGGAAGAATTTGGATTGTAAGAATTGGATGCGTAAGGAATTCGATGGTTTTGTGGACCCCCATGCTCTCTATATTTAATCCAAATCAATGGCATTTTTTGTTTTATTGAGAGAGCAATGAATGGTCTGATTTTTAAGACCCTTTATATTAAGTATACCTCTTTGAATTAAAGAGAGTACAGATCTCTCAGCCAAACAGTTTTTAGCTATGTTTCAATAGAGTTTTAGCTCATCGAAGACTATCATAAATAGCCATATTTTAATGTTTAAAAATCCTAAACTGTTTTAGTTCTCTAATGGCAACCATAACTTAAGAGGTGTTCGTAATAAATGGTAGTTCATCTCGAAAACAGTATATTTAAGAGTTTGTAAGACACAGGACCCAGCATAGTTCCATGGCAACTATACAGAATCTTTTTTTCTTTTTTTGGGAGGGGAGAGGGGCTTTATGGATGGGCATATTGGCCAATATACCAATTCATATGTATATAGGAATTCTTAACAGTCTGCATAGCATCTTAATGTTTCTCAAATTCTATAAAATATATAGCCTCGATTCGTCGACTTTTTCTAATTAGAATTTTTTCAATAACTTCTTTGAGCTCCTTCAATTCAAATCCTCTGTCCATTTCCGCAATACCTAGGTCTTCAGATCTATATACTACAGCCCACAGATCCTCGGCATTCGACATTATTCGATCCTCATCTCTTTGGAATTCCATCCCCTCCTACATCCATATAATTCCAATAACCTACCCACTTTTACATCACGCCTATTCAATCATTTCTTATCTATCCAATTCCCAAAAAATTGTAAATAGCCTTTTCCGTAATAAATTTATAAATTTATTAGTAATAATATTTATTATTTTGTTTTTAAATATATTATTCTTAATTCATCAATGTTGGAAGTTGACTAATATCTATATATTGTTTTATCTATTTATTTCAAAAGCCCACAATTGCATTATTCCAAAGGGAATTGTTCCAGAATAAATAAATCATATTAACATTACTAAACTTTTATTAAAGTACTAATAGAAATTTAAGAATTGAAAATTAGATTCATTATTTCTCTATGAAATTTCCTTTCGTTTGATAGCTACCTCAGTCATCAAAATCCATGGCTCCTGTGAGCCGAATAGGGGACCTATACTACCGTATTATATATGGTATAGATGATATACTTTGGAAGCAGGTTATTTTATCTTAAGAACATTATCAGCGATTGTGGAACAGTTAAAGTAACTATGGAACTGCTACACA